GGATCATGACCTGAGCCGAAGGCAGTCGCTTAACCAACTGAGCCACCCAGGCGCCCAACTTCTCTTTTTTTTAAAGCTCTGAAATTGCTTGGATCCTCAGAAGAAAAGAAATTTAAATACTGATTGTATTTTGAGGCAATTAGAAAAAAAAAAAACCCACCACCACCATGACAGATTCTGTAACTGTTCTCTTCAAACTCTGTTCATGTGAACCGTCTGGGGATATGTGCTAAAATGCAGATTCCCAAGCACCTGCTGTGGATCTGCAATGGGGCCCCAGTGGTGGGCGTCTCTGACATCCCCACTGACCCGTCCACAAGACACTCTGATGCATGTGGCCCACTTGGGAAAGTGCTGGTGTCAAACAATGACCCTCTAATAAAAAAAGTGGAGGGAGGCAAAATGTTCACAGTGAGGCATTAGGGATCACCTAACTTTTAATTCTCATGTATCCAAGCTAAGAATTCTGAGCCAGGGAGGTTTGGTGACTTCATAGCTGGACCAGAACCCACATTTCCTAACCGTGTGAGCAGTACTCTGTCTGTGAACCAGCAGCACAAGTCCGTCTTCTAGCTTTGCAGGCAAGGGGCCTCCCAGGTGACTCCACAAATCCACCTCCCTCCCCCAGCAAACACACACAACACTGGGTGTGGCCCTCCAGATGATATGCAGTGCCCTTGTGACCGGATGTGCTTCCCCAACAGCAAAAACGAAGACTCTGACTTACTGTAAGCAAAGTAAACAAAGCAGGGCATTGGCCTCCGTTCTTCCTTCTCCACCCCCCCCCCAACAGCACGGCAGAGCTAGAGGGGTGACCTCCCCAAAGGCTCAGCCGCTCCGATCCCCAAGCGCCAGCACACTCTTCCTGGAGAAGCACTTTCACGAAGTATGCTCCTATTCAAGAACCAGTGAGGACTCACCAGTCAGAATGGCTAAAATTAACAAGTCAGGAAACGACAGATGTTGGCGGGGATGCGGAGAAAGGGGAACTTCCCCTCCTACACTGTTGGTGGGAATGCAAGCTGGTGCAGCCACTCTGGAAAACAGTATGGAGGTTAAATAAAATAGAGCTACCCTACGACGCAGTAATTGCACTACTGGGTATTTACCCCAAATATACAAAAGTAGGGATCTGAAGGGGCATATGCACCCCGATGTTTATAGCAGCAATGTCCACAATAGCCAAACTGTGGAAAGAGCCAAGATGTCCATCGACGGATGAATGGATAAAGAAGATGTGGTATATATATACAATGGAATATTATGCA